CTCCGTGAACCATTCTGGGGCCACGCATGAACTTTTGAAAACGTCTGTGTTTCAGTATTAGTTATGGAAAAGTATACAGAATTGACACTATAAAAGAACATTATTTTTGTTTCATAAGCAAATTTACATTGTAACCTTCAAAGCCGTTACGAATACCTCGTCAGTTCGAATAAAATCAAATCGTATTTGCTTCGCAGATTCACCATTTAAAAAGAAAAAGAATAGGGGTGTATGTAACTTTTTTCCAGCTATATGTTATTTTGTATAATTAATACAAGAACACAATTATATAGAATACACTTTATTATTAAGTATCATTCTCCCCGACGCTCCCTGGCATAGGCATTAAGTCAGTCAAATCCATTTTTGCGAAGTTGCCAGCCCACTGCGCTTACAGCACATTATTCGGTACGGTTCATTCAGTGGTCATGTGACGAATCACGTGACGGGCGACTTACAACCTGAGCAATACGTGATAGGAAGTTAGGGGTGAATCAGACGACTACCAGTTGGGAGAAGGATGTCGGAGGGTAATCCGAATGTATGAGCGCTAGTGGTGAGTATATTTAAGTCTGTATGTTGACCTAAACACCACTCTCACACCCTCAATCGACCAGTCGGAATACACATAATATAAACTTGAGTCGATGTTCGTATTGATTCGGACGAGTCCATTCAACACCAGAGGGGGGTCATCGCGTGCTTCCGTGTGGATTTCATGCTGTCCTGACCTTCACAGCGGAGTCATTTGCGACATAACATCGAACAAGGATGTGACGAGCCCTCAAAACCGGTAATAAATATACAGGTGGACATGTCTTTTTAGATTATTTTTCCATGAGTCCAAGCTATACGCAGTATATCAACACGCGAACGTTTTAGCCCACGTGTTTTTACGGGGAATACACTTTGAACGTAAGTGATTTAATTGGTCATTAATCGATGAATTGATGCCGTCTTTCGGAAATGTAAGTTCTTCTGTACTCAGTTAGTTTCACGTGACGCTCACTATATAAACAAGACACTTCGAAAAGTAAACAAGCCATATAGCCAGGAATGCCGGCAGTCAGCAGTGCTTCTTCGCTGCCTCGGGAAGCAAAATACTTAGGGAAACATTTCGAGTTTCTTGGTATTTAAAAATAGTAAATTAATTGTTACTTTTGTTGTAACATGCCATGTAATTATTTTGTTATTCGTTTTTATACGTCAATATTATCAATATTTTACACACAGGATCGAATGTATTATACAGATTTTCATTCAATATGACCACGCCTAAGGCTTCATGTCAGATGACTATAGATGCCCTTCAAACGTGACGGGACTGGTGTGTACTCAGTGCATTGACGTAATTATGGCAACTGAGGCTAAGTGACTGGAATATGTACTGCTATATAACAGTGAGTGAGTATGTTTCTTACGCGGCTGTTAGCAATATTCCAGCAACATCACGCCGGTAAGCACCAGAAATGGGCTTCGCACATTGTAACCATCTATTAAACAGCGTGCGACCAGTATGGTGTACGACTCTGTGACAATGTCTGCGGAACTAGGACATTTGTAGGTTATTTAGCATGTTGCAGAAAATATACCATTTCAGCTTTACAGTAACGGGTTGTTCGACATAATCGTCAACATATGTTCATGAATACAAAAGCTAATTAAACCAGGGATTATTCGCGATTGCCAATACATGGTAACATAAACACTGGGGACAAAGGCGGATCCAGAGGAGGGGTCCAGTGGGTTTGCCCCCCCCCCCCCCCCCTACACACACACCACACACACCTCACACCGCCCCCACACCTCCTCACCCACCCACCCCTTTGAAAATCAGATGTATGTTGTAGGCAGTAAAATTATATGACAGAGGATTTTTATAATTTGGACCCCTCTCTTTTAAAAATGCTCTATCCGCCCTTGGGGGATCATTGACGTGTTTAGCCGAGGCATCTGTGCAGTATATTGATTTGTCCGTTGATTATTTAAAATTTAGATGGTCGTATGTGGTAACATGCCGCAGGGTGATATTGACCTTCATCTGCATGTGTATATTGCCCAATAAGGAAGGATGCAGGTCAGTAAATATCAACTATGTCGCAACTGCTTGTGGCTGTGTATTACCTTGTATGTAGAATGTGTACAGATGAATAGGTGTGTATTACCTTGTATGTAGAATGTGTACATATGAATAGGTGTGTATTACCTTGTATGTAGAATGTGTACAGATGAATAGGTGTGTATTACCTTGTATGTAGAATGTGTACAGATGAATAGGTGTGTATTACCTTGTATGTAGAATGTGTACAGATGAATAGGTGTGTATTACCTTGTATGTAGAATGTGTACAGATGAATAGGTGTGTATTACCTTGTATGTAGAATGTGTACAGATGAATAGGTGTGTATTACCTTGTATGTAGAATGTGTACAGTTGAAAAGGTGTGTATTACCTTGTATGTAGAATGTGTACAGATGAATAGGTGTGTATTACCTTGTATGTAATGTGTGTACAGATGAATAGGTGTGTATTACCTTGTATGTAGAATGTGTACAGATGAATAGGTGTGTATTACCTTGTATGTAGAATGTGTACAGATGAATAGGTGTGTATTACCTTGTATGTAGAATGTGTACAGATGAATAGGTGTGTATTACCTTGTATGTAGAATGTGTACAGATGAATAGGTGTGTATTACCTTGTATGTAGAATGTGTACAGATGAATAGGTGTGTATTACCTTGTATGTAGAATGTGTACAGATGAATAGGCGTGTATTACCTTGTATGTAGAATGTGTACAGATGAATAGGTGTGTATTACCTTGTATGTAGAATGTGTACAGATGAATAGGTGTGTATTAGCTTGTATGTAGAATGTGTACAGTTGAATAGGTGTGTAATACCTTGTATGTAGAATGTGTACAGATGAATAGGTGTGTATTACCTGGTATGTAGAATGTGTACAGATGAATAGGTGTGTATTACCTTGTATGTAGAATGTGTACAGATGAATAGGTGTGTATTACCTTGTATGTAGAATGTGTACAGATGAATAGGTGTGTATTACCTTGTATGTAGAATGTGTACAGATGAATAGGTGTGTATTACCTTGTATGTAGAATGTGTACAGATGAATAGGTGTGTATTACCTTGTATGTGGAATGTGTACAGTTGAAAAGGTGTGTATTACCTTGTATGTAGAATGTGTACAGATGAATAGGTGTGTATTACCTTGTATGTAATGTGTGTACAGATGAATAGGTGTGTATTACCTTGTATGTAGAATGTGTACATATGAATAGGTGTGTATTACCTTGTATGTAGAATGTGTACAGATGAATAGGTGTGTATTACCTTGTATGTAGAATGTGTACAGATGAATAAGTGTGTATTACCTTGTATGTAGAATGTGTACAGATGAATAGGTGTGTATTACCTTGTATGTAGAATGTGTACAGATGAATAGGTGTGTATTACCTTGGATGTAGAATGTGTACAAATGAATAGGTGTGTATTACCTTGTATGTAGAATGTGTACAGATGAATAGGTGTGTATTACCTTGTATGTAGAATGTGTACAGTTGAATAGGTGTGTATTACCTTGTATGTAGAATGTGTACAGATGAATAGGTGTGTATTACCTTGTATGTAGAATGTGTACAAATGAATAGGTGTGTATTACCTTGTATGTAGAATGTGTACAGATGAATAGGTGTGCATTACCTTGTATGTAGAATGTGTACAGATGAATAGGTGTGTATTACCTTGTATGTAGAATGTGTACAGATGAATAGGTGTGTATTACCTTGTATGTAGAATGTGTACAGTTGAATAGGTGTGTATTACGTTGTATGTAGAATGTGTACAGATGAATAGGTGTGTATTACCATGTATGTAATGTGTGTACAGATGAATAGGTGTGTATTACCTTGTATGTAGAATGTGTACAGATGAATAGGTGTGTATTACCTTGTATGTCGAATGTGTACAGATGAATAGGTGTGTATTACCTTGTATGTAGAATGTGTACAGATGAATAGGCGTGTATTACCTTGTATGTAGAATGTGTACAGTTGAATAGGTGTGTATTACCTTGTATGTAGAATGTGTACAGTTGAATAGGTGTGTATTACCTTGTATGTAGAATGTGTACAGATGAATAGGTGTGTATTACCTTGTATGTAGAATGTGTACAGATGAATAGGTGTGTATTACCTTGTATGTAGAATGTGTACAGATGAATAGGTGTGTATTACCTTTTATGTAGAATGTGTACAGATGAATAGGGGTGTATTGCCTTGGTACAGATGAATAGGTGTGTATTACCTTATATGTAGAATGTGTACAGATGAACAGGTGTGTATTACCTTGTATGTAGAATGTGTACAGATGAAAAGGTGTTTATTATCTTATTTGTAGAATGTTTACAAATGAATAGGTGTGTATTACGTTGTATGTAGAATGTGTACAGATGAATAGGTGTGTATTATCTTATATGTAGAATGTTTACAAATGAATAGGTGTGTATTACCTTGTATGTAGAATGTGTACAGATGAATAGGTGTGTATTATCTTATATGTAGAATGTGTACAAATGAATAGGTGTGTATTACCTTGTATGGAGAATGTGTACAAATGAACAGGTGTGCATTACCTTGTATGTAGAATGTGTACAGATGAATAGGTGTGTATTAGCCTGTATGGAGAATGTGAACAGATGAATAGGTGTGCATTAGACCGTATGTCGAATGTGTAGGGGTGAACAGGTGTGCATTAGGGATCGGCAAGGGGAGGGGATTTTGTATTGTGACCACACAGTTTCCAGCTACTGCTGCAGAATTTTTAAACATAAAATTCCCCTCTCCTCACCCTGTATGCAAGATGTGTACAGTGGAATAGGTGTGAATATAGACAACCGATGTATACAGATGGATATATGTATATGTGGTTTGTTATGTCGTCGGATATGACAATGGTGATGAAAGTATTAATAATTTAAATCGCTTGAAACTAGTATTAATATACACGTATACAATGATAATATCGAAGTGTAAAATTACGAAGTTAAGAATTTACGACCCCAGGACATTCTATTACACGGACATAACTGCTATCGTCCGCTATTGAAAGCAGCTCATTTGCATCAGCGATATGTATAAATCAATACAACAAGGCCAATCTGTCCCATCGGCGCATGTAGAGGATACCGTTATGGTATTTATTACATCTGTATTGCATTTTGCATTTTAAACAATGCAATATTGAACAGTCAGCCAGTTGGACGTGCCAGGTGCTGGCTTAGAACACACACTGACAGACTGCACGTATCGACGTGTGTATGCTGATGTCGCAAAGCTGATTTCAACAAAGGTAAAGCTTCGGTTTTCATGATGAGAGGGACCAATTATTATATTTTCAGGGCTGTATGGGTAGTTATCTGTGTCACACGAAACAATGACAACACGACTAGTGGCGCGTGTAAACAAGTGAGGTTTTGTTTTGGGAGGACAGCAACGTAACGGCAGTGTAGTAGATTTGGTATTGTTCTTACCTTTTTCCACCCGTGAAGATCCGGGTAGAATAGGTCTCCAGCAACCCATGCTTGCCCTAAAAGGCGACTGCTTGTCGTAAGAGGCGACTTATGGGATCGGGTGGTCAGGCTCGCTGACTTTGTTAATGCATGTCATCGTATCCCAATTGCGTAGATCGATGCTCATGGTGTCAATTACTAGATTGTCTGGTCCAGACCCGATTATTTACAGACCGCCGTCATATAGCTGGAATAGTGCAGAGTATGGTGTTAAAGAACAAACAAACTTCTCTGTTTCAGATTTATTGCGCGGTACTGCGCGAGATATAGACCACGTGACGGGCATTCGCCGTGTCTGCCATCATGGAGAACCACGACATGCACAAACATCACATGCACATGCATGACAAGCACAACATGACCACGCCAGAACCTGACCATGACATGCACGCGCACCACAAGGACATGCCGGGGCACCACATGGACCCACCCAGCGGCTACGACATCGCCAGTGACAACCACCATGACCATCACGTGCAGAACCACAGCATCCACGACCAGCAAGGGGACGACCACTTGTCGCATGTGCATCACCATGACAACAGCGGCGGTCACCATGACAACAGCGGCGGTCACCATCAACATGGTCATCCGGTAAGGTTCACGGAACGGATACATTCGTGACCAACTCGTGTTATTCCGGGACAAGCCTAATAGCGACTCGTACCCCGCTCATAGCCATTTTTGCGACCGGGTTCCGTCTCAGCGCAAACGGGCATACCTAAAACAATTGTCAACTCGTTGCGTAATGGTTCACTTACATTTCCCCATATATCATATATATTTCAGTTGCAAGCACATCGGGACATGCGGAATTATACAGTATGATTGAACACATTTAACTGTGTCTTTGGTATATTTTTAGATTCTTAGACGAAGAACTTCATACGCATACGCGCATTCTGATTGGTTTGTCGTATTTTCGCACATAATATTCATCGATAGGGGGACGAGTCTTCTTGCAGGTTACGGAAAGGGGCGAGTGGTGACGAATGGGAACAGACTTTGCAAAGTTACCAGACCCGATAAAGTATTTTCTGTCCCGAATTTTCTGGACAGATTAGCAATCTTATTAAAATCAAATCTTAGTTCTCGCTATTGCTAGACAAATTAAAGATCTGAGGACATTACATTTCGGCTCACGTCAGAGCGACCTTTCATCCAACCAATCAAAGCGTCGCTTATCCGATCATTAAACTCAAAACATGTACTGTGTTTATCGTTTACGGATAATTTACATCTTACACTGACTTAAAACTAGAATGCTTAGGTACTTTAGGCAATATAATAATAGCCTTACCATCGGGCGTGCAACTTTTCAAAACTGACCGTCCGTCAGCCCAAATAGACGTTACGGACTGTCGGACAGACGGGTATTTTAAACACAGCTAATGTGTATTCATTTATTGTCTTTGGTGGGACCCGTGATAGTGTGTCCCCAGCACTCCACTGCTGTTGGTAAGAGGAGACTGAAAGGTCCGGAAGGTCCCGGGTTCGATCCCCGGCCGCGTCATACCAAATGACGTTAAAAGATGGTAGTTGTTGTTACCCTGCCTGGCGCTCGGCATTAAGGGCTAAAACAAGGACTGGTTGGCTCGGAGTCAGTACACTGTGCCTGAGTGGGGTATTCGTGTTAAACTGCGGCTTGGTATCTCAGTGGGCTAGCACTATAAATCGGCATCAGTCCGGACTAGTACAAGCAGCCACACACACGCACGTGCATGCACGTCGCTATATAAGTGCAACAATCTTGGACGCGACGTTAAACCAAATTTCACCTCACCTCACTTCCGTTTATCAAATAAACGTAATGTAAGTTTATATGACAATGTACATTCTTTTAGTTAAGGTTATTATTATGGTTACTAAGATCACGTTTATTATTATGGTTACTAAGATCACGTTTATTTGATCCATAACTGAATGTACATGTGCACCCATTGTGATATCTGCAGATGACGTTCCACGCGCGGAATGACGATTTCATCCTGTTCCGGGAGTGGCAGCTATCCCCAGGGAAAGGTACGTCACGATGATTGATGGTACGTCAGTGCGACGCTGAGCTGATGGATCTGATACACCACCAAGTCAACACTTGGCCATGACTATATACATGTATATTTATATACGCGGCTCAGTCGCACATGTTGGTGTGATTCAAACAACATTTTTAACATTTTAATCGAGAGTTTTAAGAGGGTTTCTAAACTTGATGTCCACTTCCTAGTTCTATTGACCTAGTTATTGCTCAAATTGTTATTCAAAATTGACATATCGCTTTTATAAAAAAAACTAAATCAGTAAACGCGCCGTGGATTGTCTGGCCAAGACTTGATTGTTTACAGGCCACCGTCGTATGGCAGGAGTGAGTGAGTAAGTTTGGTTTTACGCCGCTTTTAACAATATTCCAGCAATATCACGGCGGGGGACACCAGAAATGGGCTTCACACATTGTACCCATGTCGGGAATCGAACCCGGGTCTTCGGCGTGACGAGCGAACGCTTTTACCACTAGGCTACCCGACCGCCCCTCGTATGGCAGGAACACTGCTTTTCGTCAACAGGCAAGGATTACCCTTTTGGCGAACATATGTCATCAAGGATTTTTAGTGATTCACACATATGGTTTTCACCAATGCATTGCTTTTTACGCCCAATGGAATCTGTTCCGTCAGATAATCACTGGCGTCCACGATTTATATCAGATTTAGCAGACATAAAGAACAGCAGATGGGGCGTTTACTCGGACTAAAAACTGTCTTAATTACATTATGTGAAGTGCTGTTAGGTAAACTTCATGTAAATAGTGTGGAGACACCTCTACAAAAAACAGCCAGTATATGTTGTGTAACAGCTGGGGACAACTGGGCCCCGTCTTGCACCAGGGGACCCGGCTTCTGTAGGTTCCCAGTACTCCAGTTTGTCTGAAGGCGCCACTAGGCTGGGTCGGGAGTGCTGGACCCCGTCTTGCACCAGGGGACCCGGCTTCTGTAGGTTCCCAGTACTCCAGTTTGTCTGAAGGCGCCACTAGGCTGGGTCGGGAGTGCTGGGCCCCGTCTTGCACCAGGGGACCCGGCTTCTGTAGGTTCCCAGTACTCCAGTTTGTCTGAAGGCGCCACTAGGCTGGGTCGGGAGTGCTGGGCCCCGTCTTGCTCCTGGGGACCCGGCTTCTGTAGGTTCCCAGTACTCCAGTTTGTCTGAAGGCGCCACTAGGCTGGGTCGGGAGTGCTGGACCCCGTCTTGCACCAGGGGACCCGGCTTCTGTAGGTTCCCAGTACTCCAGTTTGTCTCAAGGCGCCACTAGGCTGGGTCGGGAGTGCTGGGCCCCGTCTTGCTCCTGGGGACCCGGCTTCTGTAGGTTCCCAGTACTCCAGTTTGTCTCAAGGCGCCACTAGGCTGGGTCGGGAGTGCTGGACCCCGTCTTGCTCCTGGGGACCCGGCTTCTGTAGGTTCCCAGTACTCCAGTTTGTCTGAAGGCGCCACTAGGCTGGGTCGGGAGTGCTGGGCCCCGTCTTGCTCCTGGGGACCCGGCTTCTGTAGGTTCCCAGTACTCCAGTTTGTCTGAAGGCGCCACTAGGCTGGGTCGGGAGTGCTGGGCCCCGTCTTGCTCCTGGGGACCCGGCTTCTGTAGGTTCCCAGTACTCCAGTTTGTCTGAAGGCGCCACTAGGCTGGGTCGGGAGTGCTGGGCCCCGTCTTGCTCCCGGGGACCCGGCTTCTGTAGGTTCCCAGTACTCCAGTTTGTCTCAAGGCGCCACTAGGCTGGGTCGGGAGTGCTGGGCCCCGTCTTGCTCCTGGGGACCCGGCTTCTGTAGGTTCCCAGTACTCCAGTTTGTCTCAAGGCGCCACTAGGCTGGGTCGGGAGTGCTGGACCCCGTCTTGCACCAGGGGACCCGGCTTCTGTAGGTTCCCAGTACTCCAGTTTGTCTGAAGGCGCCACTAGGCTGGGTCGGGAGTGCTGGACCCCGTCTTGCTCCTGGGGACCCGGCTTCTGTAGGTTCCCAGTACTCCAGTTTGTCTGAAGGCGCCACTAGGCTGGGTCGGGAGTGCTGGACCCCGTCTTGCACCAGGGGACCCGGCTTCTGGAGGTTCCCAGTACTCCAGTTTCTCTGAAGGCGCCACTAGGCTGGGTCGGGAGTGCTGGACCCCGTCTTGCTCCTGGGGACCCGGCTTCTGTAGGTTCCCAGTACTCCAGTTTGTCTCAAGGCGCCACTAGGCTGGGTCGGGAGTGCTGGACCCCGTCTTGCACCAGGGGACCCGGCTTCTGTAGGTTCCCAGTACTCCAGTTTGTCTGAAGGCGCCACTAGGCTGGGTCGGGAGTGCTGGGCCCCGTCTTGCACCAGGGGACCCGGCTTCTGTAGGTTCCCAGTACTCCAGTTTGTCTCAGGGGGCCACAAGGCTGGTGGATTGTCAGGGTCGGGCCTTCGCTGGTGGCGAGACATCGTACACCGACGGTGTTAGAGATGCTCATGATATAACAGTCACTGGTAGGTATTCATGTTAAACTGGGGCATGGTATCTCAGTGGACTAGCACTATAAAATCGACATAAGTCCGGACTAGTACAAGCATACACGTACATGCAGGTCGCTTTATATAAGTGCAAAAATCTTGGACGCGACGTTAGACCCCATTCACCTCATCCCCGAACAATTTTAACCGACAAAGCTAAGATTTATTTGAAATACTGCTCATAGCGATGTTGAAACAAACTCTTATCTTTCGTCGACAGTGACTTTCTTTGTGTGTCTCACTCTGGTGGTCGTCGCCGTCCTTTATCAGGTCATCAAGCTGGTCAGAGCGAGGCTGGGGCGGATGTGCCGGAACACAGACTGCAAGTCAGTACTCTTGAAATTACTTCTCTCACACTTCGTGACAGATTTAAAGGATGTTAATGTAAGATGCTTGCAACAATTTATGCAAAAATATTGACACGAAGTTTAACAACAAAACCCCGTTTATCCGAACGGTGAAAAAAGCCAGGGTCCGGTTCCACAAAGCGGTCTTAGCCTAAAACGTCTATAACTCCCATACTTTAACATAGACTTACGACAGTCGTATATCGCTAAGACAATCGTAACTTTCTTATTTTAACATAGACTTACGACAGTCGTAGCGCTAAGGTGATCCTAACTCCCGTACTTTAACATAGACGTACGGCAGTCGTAGAGCGCTAAGATCGCTTTGTGGAACGGGATATCCTTGGGCCCGGTTCCTCGAAAGGATCTTAAGCAGAGCGACTGCCGTGTGTCTATGTCTATAAAACTGAATTATCAACATTTAACAATTTTTGAGGGTTCATGAAGGAATGGTTTCCGACCGTATCACTAGTAAATTGAATGCAAACACACTAAGACCATCAATGCCACCCCACAATTCATAAGTTCAATAGCCCGTGAAGATCCGGGTTAGAATAGGTCTTCAGCAACCCATGCTTGCCGTAAAAGGTAACTATACTTGTCGTAAGAGGCGACTAAAGGGATCGGGTGGTCAGGCTCGCTGACTTGGTTTATGCATGTCACCGTATACCAATTGCGTCTATCGGGGCTCATGATGTCAATCACTGGATTGTCTGGTCCAGACTCAATTATTGACAGACCGCCGTCATATAGTTGGAATATTGCTGAGTGCGGCGTTAAACATACATGAAATAAACAAACAAACACAAGTTTGTGATATTTTGAAAAATAATCCCACTGTCACAGTCACGACATCCACGCAACAATTGCTTGACGTCTCTGCAAGAAATTTTGTATGGTATTTTAAAAACATTTTTTTCACTGTTGTTTCAGACGGTACATCTTGAGCAAACGTCACTTGATACAGACGTTGCTGTATTTAGCCCAGTTTGCGATTGGGTACGTGTTGATGTTGGTTGTTATGACTTACAACGTCTGGATCATGGTAGCCACCATCGTGGGAATCGGACTGGGTTACTTCTTCTGCGGCTGGGCGGAGTACGAGGAGATCGTACGGCTGCGCCCCATCACTGTGAGGTCCAGTCATAGATCCGTCTCGCTCGACTGTAGTCGCAAGGGGGACCAAGAGTTAGTTCCCTTGAGCAAAGACACAACAGCCACTGATATAACCATTCTGACATCCAATGTCGCCTGCGCATGCGACGATGACGGAGTATTGTGATGGTGACGAAGGTTTGTGATGATGTCACGTCAGATTATGTATTATTTTTGCGGCACCACACTCATTAACGTTGCTGCCCACCCTCTTTTGGGAGGGGCAAACACAGGGTTGGATGCAACCACAGACTTCTTTTTGGGGTAATAATTGTAGAAGTGCCAGCCTTTTGCATGTGATCAAACTCTTAGCCATACTTGTGGTCATTTGGCCAAGCACCTCAATACTCGAAGTCAGCCATCACGGAAGTCATCGCGATCCAAAGTCTAATATGCATTTGTTAGCATCGTGACTACTTCACTGGTATGTGCACACGACGTCCTTCCATGCATCTGTCCATTTGCTCAGAGGTCGCTATTTTTGACGAACGAACCACGTTACGGCCTGGTTCTAATCAGTTGATCACCAGCGAGTTTTCTGTCCAATGAGCGCTCAGATCACGTCTCAAAAACGGCACAATTTTTCGCGCCATATGTGCTACAGGAGTGTCCAAAACCCTAGAGAATAAAATATAAATTGAATCCAACTGAAGTCAAGAATGATTTGGCAAGTCTAGTTTGCCTCAGCTCTACCATTGAGCATTGTTCTGGGCTCCATTTGGATTTTATTCTTATTTTGTTGATATATATTTTTAAATAAGATTTTTGAATATGTGTGTTTAGTTCTACAGCCTTTGGGCCATCTACCCTCCACATTGCTTCAATGTAAGGCAACGACTGGGTTCCGTCTTAACGCAAACGAGCAGAGTTAAAAAGAATTGTCAACTCGTTGCGTAATGATATATTTCCGCCATGTCGTATATATTCCAGATGCTATTTAAAACACATCGGGACTTAAGGTATTTATACAGTATGGTTGAACAAGTTTAACTGTATCAAGGGTATATTTGAGACGCAAGACGTGTGTAAAATCAAAGATCATTCCTGAGGAATTCTTTGACCAAAGTACGGGAAGTCTGATTGGTATTTTCGCACAAAACATTCATCGATAGGGGGACGAGTCTTCTTGCAGGTTACGGAAAGGGGCGAGTGATGACGAATGAACATTCATCGATAGGGGTCGAGTCTTCTTGCAGGTTACGGAAAGGGGCGAGTGGTGACGAATGAGCTTTATGATAGACGCGTCATTACTACAGCGCGCGCATTTCTGCCGTATTCGCTGATGATGGTAGAACATAGTCTATGCATACCCGTGAAGTATTGATGGCCTTCTGGAAAACCAGTTTATTTGAATGCTGTTTAAGTGTAGTAAAGTATTCACGCGGCTCCATACAACTCACATAGATCTGACATGTTAAAGTGAGCGAGTATGGCTTTACGCCGCTTTGAGAAATATTCCAGCAATATCACGACTAGGGACACCAGAAATGGGCTTCACCCGTTGTACCCATCTGACATATTAGAAATATCATAATAGATCTGACACAGAAGTTGGCAGAATCTCATTTTGATCTTTTCATAATGGTCATGTTTTTGGGTGCTTGTCTCTGTGCATTTGGCCGCAATTTATATATGCTTTGAAATCGCTGCACCTTATTTTTTCTCTAAAGGTTTATTTTTAAGAGTGTATGATGAATGGCCCAAAATTACCATCAATGTTGGTTGGTTGGTTTTACGCCACGCTCAGCAATATTCAAGCTATATGACGGCGGTCTGTAAATAATCGAGTCTTGACCAGACAATCCAGTGATTGATATCATGAGCATCGATCCACGCAGTTTGACCTGCATCAAACCAAGTCAGCGAGCCTCATCACCCGATCCCGTTAGTCGCCTTTTACGGCAAGCGTTGGTTGCTGAAGACCTATTCTACCCCGAATCTTCACCATCAATGAGAAACTTCGGTGTAAAGGTTTTAGACAAGCCGATGTATGGTCATTTTTGGCTGGAGCAGTGGTAACTCTGAAATGGCCAACATATTTTGCTAGTTTGCGTTTATTTGCAGATGTATATCCCCCACAGGAGAATCTACAGATTTAATTAGTGTTGTTTTCGTATGGCGAGAAGTTGTTCCTCTTTTTGCATTTACATATTTTGTTTCTGATGTACGTGTCTACAGTTAGTGAGCGAGTTGTGTTAGACGTAGGTCCTCATGCACATAATAATGATATGATATATGTTCTACGGAACTTGACGTCACACTCTGTTTCATCTGGGTCGATTTCCAAACATGTTTGTTTGTTTGTTGTTTAACGCCGCACTCGGCACTATTCCAGCTATATGAGGGCGGTCTGTAAATAATCGAAAAACCAGACAATCCAGTGATTGACATCATGAGCATCGACCCATGCAATTGGGATACGATGACATGCATCAACCAAGTCATCGAGCCTGACCACCCGATCCCGTATACACAGACATTATTATTCATGTTTGTAGCATTCTAGGTTTACGAAACACTAGTCAAAACTCATGAAATCAGAAGTCTTACACTTTTTGTCCTTAATATATTTACATCGCACACGCATGTAATGGAAACCGCCGTCATAGTCAACATGACGTCATTTCTAATGTGACGTCATTAACTTTACCTCATGAAAATATGGATATTAAGCACGGTATATCACGTCTGTAGACAGTGCACTGTTAGACTATCACCCAAAACAGGCTCCCACAGAGATATCGCTTGGGTGAGATCAAGCGATACCTACATTGTATATATGTATCATGATGATCCGAACGTAATATGTGTGTGAAACGCAACATTTTTGACAAGATCCACAAGTCACAGTCAATGTGGGTCGAAATAAAGAAATATTTTACATGTTAAGTAATGGCTACACCAGCAGATGGCTCCTTGTTGATAAGTAGACCAAATATTGTCATGTGGAAATGGAACAAGAGGTTTATTTACATAGGCCATAAACAATGTTGTACGTACGGCTAAATAACAGTTCTATTTTTTGGTGTTATTTTTCCATGTGCAGTAATATTTTGTGGCATTTCTTTTGAACTGTCTGATGTTTGCAAGATGAATAAAATGTTCTACACATACATGCTTCCGTATTCATTAAGCACCCCCACGTACATGTGGATGCTTTCAAGGGTCACAAGGCTCGAGCCTGAGGATGGACTTATTGTTTAGTTGTTTGTTTGTTTGTTTTGAATGGTGACGTCAGCCGGAAGTTGGTAACATGTTCCAGACTGACTTTTCGTGTTGAGCGTCGCGCACTCCAGGTGTAATAATATTATGATATTAAATTTCCATTCATAAGACATTTATGAGAATTATGAGTATTTATGAGCATCTTTTTATGAATCCCTATCACATTGTGATGATAGGAGGTGTTCGCGAAAAAGTGAGCGTATCCTGTCCCACCGGTGGTACCGTCACAAACACATGCAAAGGCAAGTCAATTATTTTGAAACAACACAAGGACATATATGGTACAAGTCAAAATAGGGAATTGAATCGGACATCATTCCTGTCACTGGTGCGTCAAATTTGTAAATGTCCTCAACATGTCTACTATCACACTGGCAAGTTCTCCCAATGTTTGTCTTTCATTTTCCAGCCATGCCGGGCCGAGCAAGGGAGAAATAAAGACGACTTATTTTGGGAACATTGATCAACACTTTTATGGTGAAATAAACTTTGAATAAATTGCGAATGTAGGCTTCTTCACGGGTTACATCGGCACTGTTGACGAAGTTTTGACAAGATATTTGCTAGGCATTCTGCGATTTTCGTTTACATTATTATGACTTATAAAAACTAATGAGTTTTCCCGAGCATTGCTTATATCATTTACACGCCTACAAAGTCTTGTGAAAACAATGACTCCGTGATGTCTACCTGGTATCGAAGAACGTCACAACAATAACGTAAAGAAACGAGAGTGATTCTGTCCGAATCTACAGCATTTGAATGAAAACAAAATGCAGTACAGTAAACTACGGTTATTACGAACTCAAAGGGACTAGTTCGTTATAACCGTAGTTCGTTATAAGCATATATACAGGAAACGGACGGGATCAAAACACATTTCGTTATATCCGTCAGTTCGTTATAAGCGGGTTCGTAATAAACGTAGTTCACTGTATCGTAATTAAGCGACAGATGTTATATGTTCAATATTAGGCACATACCCTGTATCCATATAAATTGACAATTCTTTACAATTCATACAGGGGCGGCCGGGTAGCCTAGTGGTTAAAGCGTTCGCTCGTCACGCCTTAGACCCGGGTTCGATTCCCGACAAGGGTACAATACGTGAAGCCCATTCCTGGTGTCCCCCGCCGTGATATTGCTGGAATATTGCTAAAAGCGGCGTAAAACCAAAACTCACTCACTCACTCACTACAGTTCATACAGGTTATTAAATGTAGATTTCCGGCAACTACACTATTCAAAGTATATGTGGTAATACATTTTTGGCAGAAAACACGATAGCGTTAATCGACTGGGAGAATATGCTTTGGGGACATCAGAGAGCTTGAAATTTGGCGTTTTTTCTGTATCCGACTCTGACGTCATATTTTCTGCATCACAATGGGCGGCGTGACGTCCTAATAGGTGTAGTGTAGAACCACCGTATTTCCTCTATTAGACGCCCGGGACTCAATTTATTTCAGACAAGCCTTTGATTCGGCGTCAATTAGAGGCCCGGCTTCTATTAATACCCCAATCTCACTATGACCACGAATTTAGGTCCCAAAAAGGGATCATTAATTGTATCAATTGATCGACCCGGCGTCTATTAGAGGCCCGGCTTCTATTTTTTGCACTGAACAATTGACCCGGCTTCTATTAGAGGCCGGCGTCTATTAGGGGCCCGGCGTCTAGTAGAGGCAATACGGTAAACCTTGCATGGCTTGTTTACTCTTCTCCAGTAAACACTTCATGCTCCCGACGTGGCATACACTATCTATGCCCCACGTGTATGCGAGCAAAGCATAGTGATGTAAAAAAAATGTTCAAGCTTATGAAGCGCCATAATTTGATTGTAGTCTATTGTCGGTGTTATTTTAATAGAAATTGACAACCCCTTCAAAACAATGGACTAATCCTATGCCTCTTCGCTAACCTCAAAGAGTTCAGGTTTCATTTTGTCCTTGAAGAATGGAGTTAAATGAACTGCGTTTTCAATTTAAATTAAACTTTTAAAACCCCTATAAATTCCATTTAGAGCGGTTCAATATACAGGTGACATTTTTTAAATTTTTCTAATGAAAAGCGTTTCTGGATATTATTACTCGTGTTCGTTTCTCATTTAGGTGTTTCTGATAGTTGTCGAGTCTGTTTGATCAACTGACACGTGGTAACAATTTACTTAATGTCAAATAATTAATAAGCAGTCAATCAACGTACTATTGGCTAATCCTTTAATCACTGTTTCGACATTTAACAACTGGTTTTTTTGCAACTCAACTGAGCATTCCTCTCTTGCTACGCTACCACGAGCGTATTACATAGCTTGTAATACATTGACAACATCAGACCTAGTTATAACCAAATTTTAGATTGAATACTAGTAGTTACCCGAGACACGAGAAATACCATGGTTTGATGTGAGATGAGGTCTTAAACAAGGATGTTTGCTACCACCGATTCTTTTTACGGTTTTTCATGAATGATCGAATTTCTGCCATAAACCAGCAATCAAGCGGAGTAGTCACCAACGAGACAACAATTGGCGTTTTAAATAGCGTACGTTGGTGATAGAGTGCTACTAGCAGAATCGGAAACTGATCTGAACGTTTTATTGGATTGCCTGACACATGGTGTCAATGCAACGCTAGGTCTGTTCGTAATTCATTTTACGAGCGCTTCTACAACTTGTACAGCTTCTACTTGCAAACGCGTGGAATTACCGAACAGCAATCGTGGGACAGGTGGCAATAAATTAACAACATAGTGTACTTTTAAAGAATTACGTTGTTGAACTAATTGTCCACAAAAGCCTCCCGAGAACTCAAGGAAGCGATCTTTCAAGGTTACACATGTGGTGAAGCACCTATCAGAGTTGAGACCGGACGCAACACCAACACCACTTGCCGAGAGAACCTGCCCCTTTTGTAAGAATGAAATATTAATTGAAAGTAATATTTTATAATATGAAGGTCACAGTTTTCAATTTGTATCTAAATGTCGTTTTAATCTGATTTTGATAGTTAGTCATTTACAGAAAGTAGGTTTTATACTATCCAGCCAAGATTTGATTTTTAAAGCTGCAATAAGACCTGCAATAATATTTTAACTATTCAATAGGATGTTCAATACCATGTGGTGCTAGAGATTAATTATTTTGTGTGTGAATGTTTTGCACTAGGGTCTTTTTAAATAGTTTAATCCCCATGTATTATTTATGTAACGAGGTGTCTCTCTGCCAAATGGGAACCCTTGCTGTATGTCTTTTTCTGAATAGACACACATACACACATCAGAGGCAGGGATAGATAGACTAACATCTGTTCCTAAGAATTAAGTTATCTTAATATATATATATATATATACACACACACACACACACACACACACACACACAATATACAAAATACAAAATAACAAATAAAATCCAAATTCAGCCTAAAACAATGCCAAATTTCAGAAGCTTGGGGCAATCTAGACTTGCTATGTTTGATAGTTCAGTGGATATAAGATATTCATCACCCGAAAGATCTAAAATCAGTGTACTGCATGAGTAAAGCCCATTTCTGGTGATGGTGCCGTGACGCTGCGGGATTTGTTGTAAAAGTGGAGTAGAACCAAACTGTCACTTCTTTGAGCCGGTGCTGATCCTCGTTGTAGTCAGTCAATCTTTGATCTGGGACGCTGGTGACCCAATCGTTAAATGCGCCGCAATTCGATGCACAGTAGCGTCCCTTAGTCGTGCCAGGATCGTGAGATCAAATCCCAGATTCCTTCCTTAAGTACACATTGGCTTGTCAGCCCATGCACGTGCGAGTGCCTTTCGCCAAAGTAATAAACGTCTCAGGCCTGCATCACTACGGGCTTTCAGAACCGAAATGTTCAATACCGCAGCGTTGGCATATTCACAAATGGCCGATCGAATCGTCGATACGAGCAACTTTGAAAGCTGACTTCCGGTTGCGGCTTATAACCTCTACACTTGCGCCACCTAGCGAGCAAATTTGGGCGGTGTCTCCATTCTCTGTCAACGGGTCAATACGCCTGTTACGGTACGTAGCATGTTCATTATCAGAGTTATCAATGAGTGAGAAGAGGGATGAGATTCCAAAAAAACAAATTATTAATTTGTTGTGTGATTATTTAAGCAGAACAAGATAGATGAGATAATGCGGTAGACATTATGGCCAGCACTGATGTGTGAGACTGACCTGACACTGACATAGTGTGCTTTGTAGTTTATCGTGAACATTCTTCCACTCTATATATGACACAGTAACCCCAGGACAGGTCGTGTCATTGTCCATTGTTGATGCTCTAGACACAATGTTAAATAAAAAGCTACTGTTAAGGTAAATATTAATTTCACAACGTTCATGAATATTCACACCTGTGTTCAAATTAAGGAAATATATAATTCATATAGTGTGGGGATGGTAAATATCATGTTTTTGGAATAAACATGGTATTTAACGAGCCTTGACGAGCACAATACATAGGTGTTATTCCTAATAGGGATATTTACCATCCCCAAACACACAAGCGTGATAACCACTTTATCATAAACTGACGTCCAAAAGAAACTTTACCAGAGTTTGAAATCACTCTTGCTCAAAAACAACAAAACATACATGCATGAAGTAAAGTGTATTGAGAAGATCAATATATCAACATAATCAACACTGAAAATGACAACCATACCGCGACCGAAAATGACGTCAGAGCCCCCCAAAGTTGGGTGTGGTACAAAACTCGAGCTTTCAGAATCATGGACAATAGGCAGAGTACATAAACAATCGTTCACGTTCAATAACAAGTCATTAGTAGCGTGTGTGACCACCAAATGCCTCAATACACGCAAAAACTCTTCGACGCACAGAAAAAGTCAGTCGTCTGATGAGGTCACGTGGGATTTGACGCCATTCTTCTTGGAGGGCCAAGATCAGTTCTTGCCGGTTGGCTGGAGAGTGTGGTCGTTGTCGAACACGACGATCCATCAAGTCCCAGAGGTGTTCTATGGGGGACATGTCGGGTGAGCGTGCAGGCCACGGCAGGTCGTTGACGTTGTTGGCTGCGAGGAAGTTAGTGACAATTCTGGCTGTATGGGCTCTAGCGTTGTCATGCTGATAAATGACACCACGTGGCTGCTGTTGGAGAAATGGTAGGACAACTGGACGAAGAATGTTATCCATATAACGCTGAGCTGTCAAGTTTCCGTCAACGATGACCAGCGGTGTCCTCTCCTGCCCACAGATCCCTTCCCATACCATGACACTCCCTCCACTATATGGTACGACCTCCTGCACGCAACACGCCGCCGTTCGTTCACCCCTTCGGCGGTAAACACGTTGTCTTCCATCAGCCCTAAACATACAGAATCGACTTTCGTCAGTGAAGACAACCCTCTGCCAGTCACGTCGTTGCCAACGTCGTACATTCCGGGCCCATCTCAATCGCAGACGCCGATGTTGCGCTGTCAATAGCTGTCCTCTGTATGGTCTGAAAGCCCTGATTCCATGAGCCCCTGAGTCTCCTGGCCACTGTCTGTCGACTAACCCTGTGACCTAAGGCATTTGTCGCCGATGACGTCACTGTCATGAAGCGGTTTCGGAGGTGCAAGGTACGCAAGTACCGGTCATCATTGGGCGTTGTCACCCTGGGTATGCCTGTTCTTGGCCTGTCAGCGGTCCGCCCTGTCTGTCTGTAACGTTGCATCAAGTTGGTAAAGGCAACACGGGAGCAACCGAAGGTTCGTGCAATATGGACGTGGGTGGCTCCCATCTGTACCATACCCAAGGCTCGTTCACGTTGTTCGACTGTGAGTCGTGGCATTTCTTTTGTGTTTTTTTTATCACTGTGGATGTCTGATTTGCCATTGCAATCGTTTTATACCCTTACCCGCACCTGCATTTGCAGTTGTCCGTGGTGCACGTGTTTTTCACTTTTTCGCGTGTTATCTCGCAAACATGTAACAGACGATTAACATTTTCTGCATACACTATTGTTGTATTTAGGTTATGTGTTTTAGATAGACTTCATCGAAAAACAAATTATACTTTGTCTGAAATTTATATTTTCAGTTGGTAAAGTTTCTTTTGGACGTCAGTTTATAATGTCATTCTTCAATTCTGTGCTCGAAATATCTCTTCCCATCTCTCACAAACATTAACTAAAGTTTTTCTGGAATGTGCGCATTAATATACATTACGTTAGAAGGTAAGTGGTGTGCCAGCCGGACAATGACAACAGTCAATATAGTTCCAACTGAAAGCTGTTTCTTATACATTGGCGTTACTTTATATAGGCAAAGCATCAATGACCTACACAAATTATTTCTTCTTGCCTTTCGCTGCAATCCATCTGTCTGTCCGCTAGAGTTACTGCCCTTTATCGAAGGGAAGCTACTCTAACCCTAGTCTATGTGGCGACACGTTTGTTTAGAGTTTGCCTGTCATAATGTTACGAAGTGCAGTCAGATGTACACACAGCGACAAAACGAAACAAGGTAACAATTCGGACATAGTTCGGCCAAATCCAACTGTTTTAATTTGGGGAAAAGGTTCCAAGCCGCAGAGGTCTACAGGCAGAGATATGGAAACTGATCCCGCTTGGCTGGTGTCCTCTCAAATTTGCCAAAACTTGTAAAATGCCTCAGCTACGGCACAGTTAGAAACTGATTGTCAGTGTATTAGACTATTCTTTTGATAATGATAGCAACTATCCCAGCTGTTTCTCAAGATTCCCGATGGTTAATTCTGACTCGATCGCCAAATGACAAGGGCGACTCCACGTTTGTTTATAAACACTGAAAGTAGTCCCTACTTGACCTTTGATATTTGCATCTTTATCCGCATATGACCCCAACGGATATGGTTGTTATCCGTTGGCTTTATCCTGCCTAGAAACATTCCTGTTATATGATAAAATATGATATCAGTTATCACACATCAAATATACACTGCTATGAGCTGCTCAACTTCAGATAAGAACAATGATTTGATTACTACACCAGACAAGTGATAAGTGATAGCCCATTGTTGTAAGGATTCTTGGAGAATCAAGATCTACTCGGTTGTTTTCTTTTTCTAAAAAAACACATAAACAATCTAATTACGAATTAGAAAATCGACTCGGGAAACGCTTTCCGACAAAGGAAACCCATATGCCATGGTAATACACCTGAAAGAGAAATATTTCATTGTTTAACCTGGCCCAGTTGTGCAAAGCGATCGTAGTGCTAAGGGCATTGCAACTCATTGTACTCAGAAATATATCACCTATATGATGACGGTCTGTAAATAATCGAGTCCGGACCAGACAATCCAGTGATTGACATTATGAGCATCGATCTACGCAATTAGGATACCGTGACATGCATCAACCAAGTCATCGAGCCTGACCGCCTGGTCCCGTTAGTCGCCTCTTCCGACAAGAATGTGTTGCTGAAGACCAATTCTAACCCGGATCTTTACGGGTAATCGTTTTTGCAACTGTGTTATAAAGGCTTACAGTCGTCGTAGCGCTAGGATCGCTTCGTACAAGTAGGCCAGGATCTCATTCGTAACCAACTCGTGTTATTCCGGGACAAGCCGAATAGCGACTCGTGCCCCTCTCATGGCCATTTTTGCGACCGGGTTCCGTCTTAGCGCAAACGGGCATACCTAAAACAATTGTCAACTCGTTGTGTAATCGTTCACATATTATATCCCCATGTATAATATATATTTCAGATGCAATTTAAAGTACACTGGGACGTGCGGAATTTTACAGTATGATTGAACACATTTAACTGTGTCTTGGGTATAGTTTTAGATGCAAGACATATGTAAAATCAAAAATTATTTCAGAGGGATTCTTTAACGAAGAACTTGAAATCATACGTGCATTCTTATTGGTTTGTCGTATTTTCGCACATAACATTCATCGATAGGGGTACGAGTCTTCTTGTGGGTTACGGAAAGGGGCGAGTGGTGACGAATGGCCAGGATCTATTAATCTTACCGGGACAGACATCGGAATGGGATTGCTGACAACAAAACTGATCGGTGGCTTCACAATCATCTGTCGCAGATGGCGCAACAACTGAACCCACAACACATTTGAACCAACAGTATTCTATTCAAGTATGTGTCGGGAGATAAGCCACGTTAAGGTCACTCGGTTAGGTCAGGGGTGAGAGGTCATCTCAGACTAAACTGTCTGGCTTCGGTATGGAGTTTCTCACGGTCGTCCTTATCAAGTAATTAACTCGGAGACCTTCGTGGAACAATAGTCTCAACCGACGCTGGACAGGATCTATTACAAGCAGGTAAGGCTGCTGATCTGAGGGTACTGTTGTGTCCCAGATGATACGTCCAGTTGGTACAGATCCATCCACGAATGCCGTTAGTGCGTGTGGTTTCATTATGCCACTGTTCAGGGTACGTCAGATAACCACGATACCAGAACCTCACACGATGTGGTCCACACGCACCTGCTCTCAGCTCTTTTTTAATGTTCGTTTGACAGAGTGAGTGAATGTTGTTAAATGTCGCAGTCATCAGCGATATTACATCCTGTAAACAACCGAGACTGAACGACCAGCGACAAGGAACCATCCCGATACATTCAGGCGACTGTTACTGCGAGCAATGAGCAGCGGCAGAAATTGGCAATTGTACTATAGGCATTGTCAAATTGCCCAATAGTTAATGTATCACAGGAACGGGTACAAAGTTGCCACTTTTAAGGGTTTTGCTATTTGTTATCATTTTAAGGACTAGTGGACTAAAATGTTAGTTTCTACCGCTGAAAGAGTACTTGGGACAAGTTCTATCCCCCAAGATTCAAGGTAATCAGAAGACACAATGTGTGAAGCGTTACAGCATCTCTGTGTCCGAGCAACTTCAAACACAGCTGTGACCCGTCAAGATCCGGGGTAGAAGAGGTCTTCAGCAACCATGCTTCTCCGTAAAAGGCGACTATGCTTGTCGTAAGAGGCCACTAACGGGATCGGGTGGTCAGGCTCGCTGACTTCGTTGATGCATGTCATCGTATCTCAGTTGCGTAGGTCGATGCTCATGTTGTCAATCATTTGTTTTTAGTCGCACTCAGCAATATTCCAGCTATGTGAGGGCGGTTTGAAACAATCGAGTCTGGACCAGACAATACAGTGATTGACAACATCAGCATCGATCCACGAAATTGGCAAGCCTGACCACCCAATCCCGTTGGTCGTATCTTACGACAAGCCCGGGTTGCTGAAGACCAATTCTAAGACGTTATTTCTGCCGTGGAGGACTTCCTACACCACCAGGAGAAGCGTCACATCAGTTGGAACAAGGTTATTCCTGTATCGCTGGCAAAAAAATATGTGGGGGACTCGGAAGGGATTATTTTGAAACATAACTAGCAACGCAGTCCATTGCAGTTAGGCTCAGAACTTTCCATGCATTCCTCGTTCATGACACCATAATTTGTCACCAACCCCTCAAGTTCAGGTAGATACATGCTTCATTCACAGGGAGGATGTATTTTCCTGGCATCGCTGTGGTGGAGAAGATTGGCCAAAAAGCTCTGGGTGGACATCTCCTTTCGATTGTGTTTTTAGAATTGGGGCATAAAATTCTTGGATTGTTGAACTGCGCTACGTTGCACCTTTCAGCTCCCAAACACCAACATAACATCGATACTCAACGCTGCCGTGACGCCAGGGGGTGAACGTGTGGTCAAACATATATTCGCTCAATGAATGACCTCACCCATGACGATGCCAGTTCACACAAACACAACACGAGTCATCTCACTCATCATAAACATCAGGTGAGGGTTTAGAGTAACAAGAGTTTGCCACTAACGTGGCTATATCCCCCGCCCCTGTTGCAGAATTTATGACACAATTAAATCGAAACAAACCCTAACCTTTTGTAACCGAGGTGGAACTTGTAATGGAAATTGTAAAAAAAAGAAGAGTTTGGAACCTAAGTCCATCTTGTTGCCATGGAAACGTAAAAAATACAAAAATTCTAAAATTTCTAAATAGCCAAAGGCACCAGTTCAGCATGTACTTGACAGACCTGCAAAGTTTCAGGAAAAAAATAGAAACGGTTTCTGAGTTATACTCCGGAAACGAAACGTGACGGACGGACGTTCGGACGGAGGGAGCCCGTTTCTATATACCCCGCCAACTTTGTTGGGCGGGGGATAATAAGTAAGTCTGGATTACCAGATTAGAGTACGCCTCTTTGAACAGTATTTCAGTTGGATCATGGTGAGATTAAATACTAAAGATTATTGGATATATGGATTGGTAAATACTCTGAGATAAATGCAATGGCACCATTTTCTTGATCATAATTATCATAAGCAATCTGTGCAGAAACCTGAATCCACTGTGGCACTCCGACTATATAATGATCACGGGTTTACAAATCACTGTCGACCGCCTCCGTGGTCTAGTGGTAGAAGGTCCGGGGTTCGATCCCCGGCCGCGTCATACCAAAATACGTTAAAAGATGGTACTTCTTGTAACCCTATCTGGGGCTCGGCATTAAGGGGCTAAAACAAGGACTGGTCGGCTCGGAGTCAGTATACTGTGTCTGAGTGGGGTATTCATGTTAAACTGCGGCATGGTATCTCAGTGAGCTAGCACTATAAATCAGCATCAGTCCCGACTAGTACAAGCAGCCACACAAACACACACACGTACATGCACGTCGCTATATAAGTGCAATAATCTTGGACGCGACGTTAAACCCCATTTCACCTCACCTCACCTCACCTCACCACAAATCACTGTCAAATAGTGATGACACTAGGGGTGTCGAGAAAGGGCGAGCGTATCTTGCCCCACCGGTGTCACCCGTCACAAACACATGCAAAGGCCAATCAAGTGTTCACATGTGAGTGAGTGAATATGGTTTTACACCGCTTTTAGCAATATTCCAGCAATATGACGTCGGGGGACACCAGAAATGGGCTTCATACATTGTGTACCCATGTCGGAATTCGAACCCGGGTCTTTGGCGTGACGGGCGAACGCTTTAACCACTAGGCTCCGTTCACGCGTACATACGTGGGAACATATGGTTCAAGTAGTTAATAGCGTCGGATATCCGTCAAATTTGGAAGTGTCCACTACACGCCTACCATAAAACCCAGATTAAACAACGTTTTAGCAAACACTGACGGTTTCGAAGATAGGATGCAAGTACATGGGTACCAGTTTGGTGGCCATGCCCCCCCTTAACTTTGTCGTGTAGGATAGTGATTACAAAATGTTACAATGTTTTGGCAGAATTGGATTCTTTTCTGAGATTGCAAAAAAACAATTCAAGCAAATCCTTTGAGGTTTTGAGAACGTACACTCCACATTACGCATGTATTTCAGATGTATCTGGCAGCCTCCTCTTCACTGCCTTTCCTCGGCCACATCTGGGATACTGACTCCGTACAGGGTATATATTATCAGTAACTTTCTGATTGTGAGAACTAAATCAGATGTTTCTAGTAATAGTAAACGTCAACCTTTCATTTCAAGCACTGATCTATTTATTACAGTTATACTGCATCTATTACTACATTGTCTCAAATCATTGTTTGATGATTTTATTATTTCTATGACCATAACGCAGTCTACGACTACAAACAAATGTTCTAATGTGAGAAAAACGAGGAAAGTACGAGTCCTTAACTTCACACTACGGAGCACAAGAGAATCAACGCCAGAAGTGGTGTCCTTGTTTTTTAAACGACAAACGGCCGTCTTCACAAATCATGATTGAAGTTTGAGAGCAAGGAGGACGTATGATAAGTGCTTGAATCGGATTGCAAATAACATGTGTCATATGATCTATAAGAAAGCAGCTGGAACTGATTTTAACAGGAAACATATCAAGATAGACATTGAGGGATAACGTTTACTGCAGCGGTCGGTTAAAAACAATCACCTTGTCAGTATGTGCTCAATACATTGTCGAGTATTTTGTTGTGAGTACTTGATGTTTGTCGTAAGAGTGAACTAACACGGAAATCGACTGTGACTGCTGATTGATTGTCACCGGACCCGTGAAGATTTGCATGGATCGATGCTCATGATATCAATCACTGAATTTTCTGGTCCAGACTCGATTAGTTACAGACCGGTGTCATATAGCTGGAATATAGCTGAGTGCGGCGTTAACTAACAAACAAACAAGTATGTCACTGTAGCCCAGTGGTACTGGTGGTTACTCATGCCATCAACCACTGGTTTGCCTGGTCCAGAACCAATTATTGACAGGCACTTTAAAATAGCTGGAATATTGCTGACTTCAGCTCAAACCAACAAACAAACGTCAGCCGTTGTCTTTCTCCTCATATCTGCATCTATATGATCCAGTTCTGGCAACAGCGTCATTGGTGTCCGCCATTGCCACGGTGTTGTTCGAGTTCATCAATGGTTATTTCTTCTACAAGGAACAGAGCGCGTCTTACAGGTCAGAATACTATCAATAAGTCATACATATTAATTCCCTCTTAATCGTTCATGGTGAAATAACCGCCTCTGCGGTCTAGTGGTAGAGGTCCGAGGTTCGATCCCCGGCCGCGTCATACCAAAAGACGTTGAAAGATAGTACTTGTTGTTACCCTTTTAAGGTAGTACTTGTTGTTACCATGTCTGGCGCTCGATAAAACAAGGACTGGTTGGCTCGGAGAATAATGTGTCTGCGTGGGGTATTCATGTCAAAGTGGGGCATGGTATCTCAGTGGGCTAGCACTATAAATCGGCAGCACTATAGTACAAGCAGACACACACACACACACACACACATGCATGCACGTCGCTTCATACGTGTGCAATAATACTGGACACGACGTTAAACCCAATTTCACTCCACCTCATGGTAAAATAACAACCCTTATGCTGACAACTCGCCCCACCATCATCTTCTTGTCTTCCATTTCAGCTCCACACAGCGACAACGAAAGAAACTCCACGTCTGCCTCACATTTCTCTACATTATCCGAGTCCTGGTGAGCTATCTGCTGATGTTAGCTGTTATGTCATTCAATGTATGGATATTCATTTGTGTGATTCTCGGATCCGCCATTGGCTACTTTACTGTGCAACCAGTGCTCAGATACTACTTCCGGCGGATGTTACAGCCAAGTCATGTGACTGCAAGGGGTGACCAAAAAAACGAAATGTTGGAAACCGACCCAATTAGGCCGAAAAATGATTTTGATGAGACGGTGCCGATGTATGTTGGACAGAAAGAATCTGCACAAATGTGTAATATGGACGTTGGACACAGACATACTGGACAAGACTACAACACGGATGATATGTAAAGAATTCTATATTCATGTGCATTTTCCGGAAGTGAAGCTCAGTTACGTTTTTGCACGACAAGATGCTGCAGCAGTAGTCTTCAACAAACGCGACCTTGACCTTCGAAACCCCAGCGTACGTTACTCGGTTTCAACTTTGTATGTTTGTTTGTTCGTTGTTTAACGCAGAAACAAGGTTTCGAATCAGCGACCAGCGGCTTCTGGCACGACTTAGGGTCGCAACTCTGCTAAAGTTGCCAAATTGGAGAGTGAGTACTTTAGTATTCTGCCATGACTTCGTGAAATACACGAATTTGAATGGACAATCAATAATATCACAAAAAACATTAGACATAATCAATTTGGATTTTTTTAAAAATGCGTCTGATTTTATGACCGCTTCACTGCGCACTTATTCAAACGACAACACTACAATCTTCTCAAAGTTGCACAAATGTAAAAACTGGCAAGTTCGCCTCTTTCGACATTTCAAACTGTTCTGTAACTGTCAACAACTACTCTTAAGAAAATATTGAGGTCAGGCCACTCGATGTAGTGTTGACAGGGGTACTGTAGCACGTCTTGCCTAACAGTTAACCTTGTTTCTAGTGGCCTTTCCCCCATAAGCAATCTGTTGCTTATTTCAACCTATTCAATTGTTGCAGTGAAAAATATTTGTTTCTTTTGACGAATATTTTTTACTTACAATGATTAGAAAACGTATCAAAGGAACCCACATCCCCTTCACAGACGAGTTCAATTCAACTTTGTGTCATGCCAGATTATACAGTCTTCTGTGCAAGGCACGAACTAGTTCGATTTTGAAATAATCGTCTATGGTAGAACGGAGATAAACTGACTGTGTTTGAAAAGCAGATTAATGTTAGACCACGTTTATAGCCTCTTCGCGTTCAGTTTCAAATGAAATGTAGAGGCTATGAGTTCAGTGTGACATTAATCTAGTTTTCAAACAGTAGGTACGAAACATGGTTTGGTTTGACTTCTCGGCCCGTGTCTGAATTCCATTAACATGTTACATATCCTAAAACTGATTAATTAGCAAATCTCGCTGCACTGCGCGCGACAGATACTAGAGCAAGGCATGCCAGAAATACGAAACCTAATGCTTCCGAAAGGAAGCCTTGGGGATCACGTGCGTCGGGGGACCAGCGCCATCTGATTGGCCGTTAACAGTTGTACAAGGCGGAGCAAAGAGCATCGTTTTTCCGTCCATTTGAAAAACTCGACGCTTTTCCGGACACTTTCTAGACTCTGACCAATTTATCAATGTTAATGAATTTTTAGTCGTTTTTCCGTCCAATGACCATATAGGGGAAAAACCCTTTCGTGTTTGCAGTGTACGCTGGAATGAGTTACACGTATAGCGAAACAAAGCCACTTTGGGGTTACATCTGACCTTGAGAATATTGACCGATTTAGCTGGTTATCGAACTGTTCTTGTTTTATTAAGAGACTAATTATTCACAAATTGTGGCCCTAATCCATTTGTGAAAGGCGTGGTAAAATAGTCCCTGGCCGACTTTAAACAGGTCATGTGACCACGGTATGATGATCTATACCGATACGTCGCCTTTACATGCAGTAAATAAAGAAGTTGTTATCCATAAATTGTGTCCGCTTCATGCATCCGTTTACGACTTCTTATATTTTATCTGTGCTTAACTGAGGTGACCGCCATCGAAGCGTTAAGGCCGACTGGAAACTAAGTACAGATGGGTCAACTTGGATATTGCGACATCACAGTTGAGGCTGCCGACACCGTTAGGTACGCGAGATTCAGGGGTCTATTTGGAGGGTATTCGGAACTCCAATTGTGGTTGGTTGGTTGGTTTGTTGTTTAACGCCGCACTCAGCAATTTTCCAGCTGTATGACGGCGGTCTGTAAATAATCGAGTCTGGACCAGACAATCCAGTGATTGATATCATGAGCATCGATCCACGTAATTGGGATACGATGACATGCATCAACCAAATCAGCGAGCCTGACCACCCGATCCCGTTAGTCGCATATTACGACAAGCATAGTTACCTTTTACGGCAAGCATGGGTTGCTATTCTATCCCGGATCTTCACGGGATCTGTACAAGCAGCGTCAAACACAGTCAGATACATACGAGGGGTGGCTGAAAAGTTCGTACACCCAGTTGGCATGTATAAAAAAATCCTTTGTATTTTTCATCATTTCCACATTTTTTTAGTAATTGAATTGTAAATCGCATCCTTTTCTCAATGCTTTTGAGAATTGTATTAATAAGTATTCGGGATTCAGGGGTAAGAAATGCGACTAAAAAAATAAAAATGGATGGTGTTCGGGGAATTTAGGGGTAGAAGCGTGTCTGTGTTGGGGTTTGGTGATGGGGTGGTATCCCGGGTTGATTCTTGTTGAGTTATTGCACATATAACAGTGGGGGTTTGTACACTCCACCCCTTATCTGGTAATTATGAAGACATCCCCAAGGGGGTGTGGGGTTCAAATGTAAGCGGAAAGTGATATCCACATCTAATAGTTTGTCCGCGACACGCATAACATATACTGGCTAAATACGACCAATAAGCACACGTCTACCGCCATTGAGAGGGTACATAAACACTTCCCGATAGCTGTGTTAACTGTGTTTGTTGTGTGGGCCGCACAACAGGTTACTCAAGTGCGTTTACACAGGCTAACACAATACCTCACTTGTAATGTATGCTTTAAGCAACCTACTTCACTTCACATGTTGAATTACACACATTATCTGTTTGTAATCTATGTTGTGTGGCAGTCATAACTTGTTCCATTTCCAACATATCAATTCATCAGTTCCCTGCGTACTTAAGCCTTGAACAGTTTTCTCCTCGGCCAGTAAACACCGCCGTATTGCCCATGTCGACGTCACGACGTGACTAACCCGGATCTTCACGGGTAGGGTCTTTGTCATTTGTTTGTGAGGTGAGGTGAGGTGAGGTGAAATTGGGTTTAACGTCGCGTCCAAGATTACTGCACTTATATAGCGACGTGCATGCACGTGTATGTGTGTGTGTGGCTGCTTGTACTAGTCCGGACTGATGCCGATTTAAAGTGCTAGCTCACTGAGATACCATGCCGCAGTTTAACATGAATACCCCACTCAGACACAGTATACTGACTCCGAGCCGACCAGTCCTTGTTTTAGCCCCTTAATGCCGAGCGCCAGACAGGGTAACAACAAGTACAATCTTTTAACGTCTTTTTGTATGACGCGGCCCGGGATCGAACCCCGGACCTTCCGCTCTCCGGGCGGACGCTCTACCACTAGACCACGGAGGCGGTCTCATTTGTTTGTACATGTCTGTAATAGGCCCAGAACACTTTTCTCAAGAGGAGACTGAATTGGATCGGGTGATCAGGCTCACTGACATGGTTGATTGTAATTATATTTGACGTTGTGGAACGGTGCTCATAATATCACGTGTTCCAACAAACAAAGATTTTGAGGCAGTTTAACATTGCTGTACTGCCATGACCGGCTTTTTCTCCAGATCTTTACCCCACAGAACATTCTGTGATGAAAGGAAAACAACGCCTACGACAGGATCAGAACCTGCAGGCGGTGGGTTTATTGACATCGTTAATTAAGTTGTTACACCACCATTTCTGTAGGGCGTGTCTTTCTGTCACCTGTTGCCAAGTGTCGGTTTTGTCAATGAATTTGTAATGATGACAATGATGAAACGAATGGCCACATATTATGTTATTTTCAATAATATGACATTTACACCATTTAATATGAAGCCCAGTGACATTTTTACGTCAGTATATAATTAAATAAACGCATAGATTGGATGACGTGGCAGGTGAACGGAGGGGACAGGTTCACCAAAACTCTTAGTATACACTGAAACACTGAGCTGTCCTGTTACACATGAGGGTCGGTCGGGTAGCCTAGTGGTTAAAGCGTTCGCTCGTCACGCCGAAGACCCGGGTTCGATTCCCGACATGGGTACAATGTGTGAAGCCAATTTCTGGTGTCCCCCGCCGTGATATTGCTGAAATATTGCTAAAAGCTGCGTAAAACCTCACTCACTCACCGTTACACATGACCATGACCTTGTTGAATGGTGTTTGTTAGTAGTCTAGCGCCGCACTCAGCAATTGCCCAGCTATATGACGGCAGTTTGTAAATAATCGAGTCCAGACCAGACAAACCAGTGATTGATATCATGAACATCATCTACGCAATTGGGATACGATGACATGCATCAACCAAGTCAGTGATCCTGACCATCCGATCCCTTTAGTCGCCATTTACGACAATCATGGGTCGTTGAATACCAATTCTAACCCGGTTCTTCACGGAGGAAACAAGCATGAGTTCCTGAAGACCAATTCTAACCCGTATCTTCAAGGGGTGCTGAGCGATGTGAGTGGTTTTCGAACTTTTCTTGCTTTATTAGAGACTACTGTGCACAATGATCGAAATCCATTCGTGAAAGGCATTGTCCGGAAACCAGTCCCTCGTCAACTTTAGACCAATATGTGACCTTTGAATAACCCAAATACAACCTATTGTATGGCTATTTGCGATTACAGGAATTCTGAGCACGCACGGAACATCTTTTATACGATGAAAGTGATGTTATTTATATATGCGCAGACACACCTTATGTTTGTGAACATCCCTATGTATGACATACATACACACTGCTGAGTAATGGTAGATAGAAGATCAGTGGGTGTCCGTCGTTCTGTTGAACATTAACTGTCCTACAAATGCAATTACGACCTTCAAACGTTGGATGAAGAAATACGCTAAGGTTACATTAATAGTGAGTGAGTTGGGTTTAACGCTGCTTTAAACAGTATTCCAGTTATAACACGGCGTGTCAGCTTAATGTGGGAGGAAAGCCCGAAGTGATGCTGGTCTCAGACGTTTACCACTTCGGTGAAACCCACGAGCACGGGTATGGTGCTGACAAACCTAGAAACATAATCGGGGCGAACCGGGATTCGAACCCACAATCATAGGTTTCTGGCGTGCCCAAGGGACGCAACTCTGCACAGCGAATCGCGGCGCCTTAGACGACTGGGCCACCAGTGCAAGTGCAAGTGATATGAGAGATGGAATCTGATTGGTCAATAGGAGGGACATAGAAGGGACATTACTTGTTATAGCCACTGGTGGCGCTACGATCGAGCCTGGAATTTCCAGCCTTGTTCGGCAAGGGTAGAAACTGGACTTTAATGTGTCAGTTAACGCCCTTCCCTCGGGAAGATGGACTGGAATCATACTGAGGCCTAAAACAACAAACAAATAAAACGTTTTGTATTATGTTTATTATTTTTATTAAAAAGGTATGAACATTGTACCGGTTGTACAGGAAACTATACATGGGTTTCCACAGACAAAGTTCCGTTTTGTAAAAAATGAAAATATGTGAGTATTAATGGGACAAAACTGCAACTTTATTTCATTATATTATGATCATACATAACGCTTGATAATGGTATTAATATCTTTAAACATCATGGGATACGAGGGGAAATCACCCTGTTGTGAGGGGTTTCCAAATGCAGCTAAAATAACTAAGTTTTCCAAAAAACTCATGTGAAGGTGGTAAACGTGGCCATTGAGAGAATGTTTTCAACAACTCCTTCCAAGCCGAGAAAATAATGTAATCCAGCTATTTGACGGCGTTTTTTGTTTTTGTTTTGTTTTTGTTGTTGTTGTTGTTTTGTTTAACGCCGATCAGACAAACTAGTGAATGACATCATGAGCATCGATACACGCAATTGGGATACGATGACATGCATCAAGTAAGCCAGCGAGCCTGACCACCCGATCCCGTTAGTCGCCTCTTAAGACAAGCATAGTCGCCCTTTTTATAGCAAGCATGGGTTGCTGAAGACCTATTCCATCCCGGATCTTCACGGTTCTGGCGGTCTGTGAGTGAGTTGGGTATAACGGCTCTGTGAACAATATTGTATCATAACATTTCAGCTTTAAGTGGGAGGACAGCCTGAATTTATGCACGTCTTAGACGAAACCCACGAGCACGGCTGTGGTGCTGACAACCCACTCATAATAGGGGCAAACCGATTCGAACCTACAATTATAGGTTCTGGCGTGCCCAAGGGACGCAACTCTGCGCAGGGAATTGCGACGACTTCCCAAACGTTATTATTTTCGCCTAAATCATATCCTGAAATTCAAATAAAGCACATGTACGCAAACAAGATTGAACAACAAAATACATAACACGGAAATATAATGTGAAACTCCGATCAATGACCCTGGATCTTAATGGAACGAGGTGCCAGATGGTCCTTGTAAAATATGTTGGTAAGAGGTAAAGTAAGTTGAAAGTTTAAACACCCAGTTTACACATAAACACATAATCCAACAGTGTCGTAGATGGCCAAAGTTATTCTTGGTGAGTGTCTCGTGGCATCGTGTACAGGTGTCCAACATGAACGAAGTTTCTGTCGTTTTGCTGAGTAGGAAACACAGTGTGGATTTCACAAAACAACATTCACTCACTCAAGGAACAGATCGATCACTGTTAATACAAGTGAAATATGCAGTTACGTGTATTGAATTTTGTTTGATCCAAGATGGCGGACATTTCCGACCGGAAACGTATTAACGAACTGATTTTTCCGGTCCCTTGTAGTTCGTTATATCCGTGTTCTACTGTATTCTACGACCCACACAATGGTAAATGATAATATATCTCAAAGTAGACGGGACTTTTGAACTGGTTTGTTTCAGTTGGTATATCCCTGTTTATTATACAGTTGTGTTTTGTGGGTTTTTTATTTGTCATCCATGGCCTGTTTCACCAGAAGAGGAACAAGACGCACCTGTTGTATGAAGTAAGGCAACTGGGGGTATATCATTGTCACAACATTGTTTCTCGAACAACCGAGTTCTGTTCAAGGATATTCAAAGGAAGTTCAAGGAGACAGTCATTCTCGTTGTTTCGAGCTCGATGTATGCTATCCGTCTCGACTGAATCCGAACTGTCGGACTTGTCGGACTCCCTGTTACACCTTGTAACTGGGGTCGTGTTTGCACGTGCAGAACGAGTCTCTTCGTCTGTGACTTTGTTCAGCACGTGCACGATGAGAGGTAGAAGAAAGAAGTGGCCAATCCCTGCTCCGATGCAAACAGCAAGCAAAATCCATACGTTATAGGTCATAGTGCACAGCATGAGGATGTAGCCAATCAGAAAGTGGATTGTATAGGCCAAGGCTTTCCACATCCGGGACACGTAGTGGGCCACGAGCGTGCCCTGCCACCTGCGACAGAAGAATATTTAACCAGTCACACGTCAAGTGTAAAGGGTGTTTATGGTTTAATGAACCATTTTAACGATTAAACACTGGGGTCCGATTGGTCTAACATACTTAAACCATTTCAAACATTTATAGCACCTACTATGCTCAAAAAACATTGTTTTGTTGAAGGTATTTTGAAAGATATTCATGAACTCTATGCTCAACTGTAAAAACACTGTGTGAGTTGGCCCTGCGTGATGCACGTGAAAAATGTTCCCCGATCCTTTCGCACGTGCACCTCACACTTTGCCGATTTGGGTTCGAGTCCCGCTGGCGACAAACGTTTTCCGTGAAATTGTTCTATCATCAAGATAAATGATACGAGAAAAACGTTCTGACATTGCTAAGTGGTGCTTAACTAATAATTCAGTTAGTCAGACCACGAACAAGGGAGCCATGGTTTACCTTCTGTTTGATAATTCCTATACGTTACGGGGGCACGGGTGGCCCAGTCGTCTAAGGCGCCGCGATTCGCTGTGCAGGTTTGCGGCCCTTAGGCACGCCAGAAACCTATGACCGGTTCGCCCCGATTATGTTTATAGGTTTGTCAGCACCATACCCGTGCTCGTGGGTTTCACCGAAGTGGTAAACGTCTGAGACCTGCATCAATTCGGGTTTTCCTCCCAAATTAACCTGACACACCGCGATATAACTGGAATACTGTTAAAAGCGGCGTTAAACCCAACTCACTCACTCACTCACTATACGTTACGACAGTTGTACGTACACTAGTTTTTTCACTTCTATTTTTTCACGCACTTTTGAACAAAATATTTCAATGATATAATCTGGCACGTCAGCATAATATTCGGGAAAGACCCAAGGTTTCAATAATAATATACTCCGAGATATATTCCCTTTGTCTTTCTCCCTGTGTTCGGATAGTACAAAACTCTCTAGAAAACATTTTTAATACAGGACATAACTCGTGAAGCTACGGGTTAGAATAGGTCTTTAGAAACCCATGCTTGCCGTAAAAGGCGACTATGCTTGTCGTAATAGGCGACTAACGGGATCGGGTGGTCAGGTTCACTGACTTGGATGATGCATATCATCGCATCCCAATTGCATGGATCGATGCTCATGATATCAATCACTGGATTGTCTGATCCACACGCAATTATTTACTGACCGCCGTCATATAGCTGGAATATTGCTGAGTGCGGCGTTAAACAATAAACAAACAAACAAAAAACTATGTTGCTACGGAAATAGGGTTTGCTGCAGCTTCTACTTCGTGTATGCTGTACCTGTTGGTGGACTTTCTGGTTTGGAGGATCTTGCCGATGTGGTAGTAGAACTTGGAGCCCTCGTACACCACAGAAAGGACAGACGAAAACACCATAGCTGTCACCAGTCCTGGTAGACAAAACGTCATTCAATATGGGGATATGTTAGTACATGCTACATACAATCATTTCTCGAATTTTGATCATTGGGGATTGGGGTTTGGTTAGGGTAGTTGTAATTGTTGTTGTAAATATGGTTTGGTGGTGGATAAGATGGTGGCTAGTGGAGCAAGGGGTGGATTCAAGGAGTACGTTTGTAGGAGACGGGGTAAGATGCTGGGAGTTGGAGTAGGGTGGTGGGAGGTGGGTGGTGGGTGGTGGGTGGTGGAGTTGCATGAGAAAGTACGGAATTATATTTTGCTTTTTGTGATACCACACGATCCGTAATCGGCTTAAAAAAACAACCTATTTGGGGGCGTGGCCTAAAGTTATACGGCGCAGCGGTAACAAATGTTTTCATTGGCTGTTACGTTTTTGCGGCGTAATATAACAATTAACAGTCAGTAAGTATTGTTTGATAGGCATTACTTAGAAGTTGACGGATGACAAAGTTGACACAATTTATGGATAACAATTTCTTTATTAATGTTAGGGATAACAGTAATTAAAGAGGTTGTAATTCATAAATTGTGGCCATTTTGTAGTCGGTAACTAGCGTATTATTACTTACATCCTGTTTGGGGGATAAAACACCAGCCGCCCTCGACCCTATTCCACACAATGAATGCCTGTCAGGGATGAATCCCCTCAGTAAACACCTGAAGGCATCTTCAGTGTTATTTACAAAGGGGACTTAAGTTGTGGACATGGTAATCACGTGGATGAGCAGACAGAAAAAAGACGTTGTATATTACAGAAGAAGGCAGACTGGGCGTCGGCCCGATCGCCATGATAGTTAAAAGTGGGCAGCGCGTCAAACAACAGAACTCCGTTTTAACCCGAGTAAGGGGATTCCCCTCCGCGGCGGAATTTTCCGTTGAGTGGACGATTTCGACTGGGTTTTTTTATCGGTTTTACGCTATGTCCGTTTTTCAAATTACATTTGCCAGCATTTGTGATTAAGCATGCCCTAAATTATTCTGCTAGGTTACTATGCTGACTTTATTTGCCCTTTTAAGTCGTCTAAGGCGCCGCGATTCGCTGTGCAGAGTTGCGTCCCTTAGGCACGCCAGAACCCTATGAATGTGGGTTCGAATCCCGGTTCGCCCCGATTATGTTTCTAGGTATGTCAGCACCATAACCGTGCTCGTGGGACCTGCATCACTTCGGGCTTTCCTCCCACATTAAGCTGACATGCCGTGATATGACTGGAATACTGTTAAAAGCGGCGTTAAACACAACTCACTAACTCACTTTAAGGGCAATTACTACGAGGTCATGCACTGTTTGACTAACGATGCTTCCACTTGTGCGGTCGTGTTTCCTGAGGACATGGCAAACCGTCTTTCCGGAGGGCTAAGCCTACAAGGAATTTCTATACTGCCATGTTTATCATTTACTACAATTTGAAAACAAACGGAGATTGTGATGGATGGCTAAGGTGGTGGATAGTTGGCTAAGGAGGTCGATGGGTGGGTAAGGTGGTGGATGGTTGGGTAAGGAGTTCGATGAGTGGGTAAGGTGGTGGATGGTTGGGAAAGGAGGTCGATGGGTTGGTAAGGTGGTGGATGGTTGGGTAAGGAGGTCGATGGGTGGGTAAGGAGGTGGGTGGTCGTTTAAGGTGGCGGATGGTCGTTTAAGGAGGGTGATAGTTGAGTAAGGAGGTGGATGATCGTTTAGGGTGACGGATGGTCGTATAAGGTGGCGGATGGTCGTTTAAGGAGGGTGATAGTTGAGTAAGGAGGTGGATGATCGTTTAGGGTGACGGATGGTCGTATAAGGTGGCGGATGGTCGTTTAAGGTGGTTGATAGTTGAGGAAGGAGATGGATGGTTGAGTCAGGAGGTGGATGGTCGTTTAAGGAGGTGGATGGTTTAGTAAGGGGATGAATGGTTGAGTAAGGAGGTGGATGGTCGTTTAAGGTGGCGGCTGGTCGTTTAAGGGGGTTGATAGTTGAGTAAGGAGGCGGATGGTCGTTTAAGGAGGTAGATGGTTTAGTAAGGAGGTGGATGGTTGAGTAAGGAGGACGATGGTCGTTTAAGGAGGCGGATGGTCGTTTAAGGCGGTAGATGGTTGAGTAAGGAGGTGGATGGTTGCGTAAGGAGGCGGATGGTCGTTTAAGGAGGTGGATGGTCGTTTAAGGAGGTGGATGGTTGGGTGAGGAGGTGGATGGAGTATTGGGGTGGGTGGTAGTGTAATGTGGTACCTGATGACGTAAGGGGTGGGACATATTGGTGAGTGGGGTGGGTGGGGCACTACAACCACTGACCGTGCATGGAGTCGAGATACCAGAACCGGAACAGGAGACTGGATGATGTCCACAACTGAAACGTCATCTGAAATATAACCATGGCAACCAAATATACACATACATACACGGTGCAATGATGGAAGGGAACGATATGTCGTACAGATCCCGACACTGGACACAATAACTCGTAATGATGACAAAATATTGAACTGATGGAATAAGGTGATGTCTTTCAAATATACTCCCAGGCCCCTTCAGAATATTCAATGTTCGGCCGGTTTGCGGGAAACCTTTAACTTAAGAGGAGCTTTTTGGTTTGGAAAATGTTGCAAAGAAACAACTAAGGTAGATGTCGGTGGGCTTTGATGTATCGTTTTATTGTTTGGGGAGCGAAAAAAGAGAAGGGTGAAATTGGACACAAGACTTTGACCTTTTATAGTGATCACAAATATGTACTGTTCATTGTATTAGTAGTGGGGAAGCCTAGTTGTTAAAGCGTTTGAACTCGTTTGAAGGTACGGATCACTGGATACTTCCCGCATGGGAACAATGCGAGTGAATGAGTTGGTTTTAAGGCACTGTGAACTTTATTTCATTATGCCCTGGCCAGTCGTTGTTGTTGTTGTTGTTGTTTAAAGCCGCACTCAGCAATATTCCAGCTGTATGACGACGGTCTGTATACAATCGAATCTGGACCAGACAATCAAGTGATTGATATCATGAGGATCGATCCACGTATTGGGGATACGATGACATGCATCAACCAAATCAGCGAGCCTGACCGCCCGACCCAGTTAGCCGCCTCTTACGACAAGTATAGTCGCCTTTTACGGAAAGCATGGGTTGCTGAAGATCTGTTCTTCACGGGCTTTCTGGACAGTCAGCTAATATTGAGGAATGACGAAAGTGTCGCAGGCCATATACTTTTATGCTTCGGTGAAACCCACCATCAAAGGTAGTAAACGGGCGAATCTGGGATTCGAACATACAACAATCGGATCCTGACTGGGATAAGGGACGCAACTGTACGTGGTGGGTGGCAGCTCTTTAGACAGCAGGATCAGCTGTATCCTATTCGAGTGACATCTGTATACCATCAGACAAGAAAGCAATGCCTTTTTGTCTCTTAGGATAGACAAATCTCAAGTCAGTATCCGTGTCTACATAAAGTAGAACACTTGCTTTATTCGGGCCAACGGGTGATTCACCGGCCTGAGCCGACGTCGAGAGTTGCGTCCCTTAAGTGTGGCAGGAACCTATGATCTTGTGTTCAAATCCCAGTTCGCCAGGTATCGTTATTATGAGTTCTAATCAGGGATTCTGCCAGATTATGACGCCCAAACTTATGAGTTTCATATAAGCGTTACAATTCTACGTCTCCTGTGTTTAGCCACGACAACGTGATATAACTTAAATACTACTTAACCTAACACGCTCACTCATAAGGGACTACTTTTACGTTAATGCTACTTGACCTAACCCACTCAATCATAAGGAACTACTTTTACGTAAATGCTACTTAACCTAACACGCTCACTCATAAGGGACTACTTTTACGTTAATGCTACTTGACCTAACCCACTCACTCATAAGGAACTACTTTTACGTAAATGCTACTTAACCTAACCCACTTAATCATAAGGAACTACTTTTACGTAAATGCTACTTGACCTAACCCACTCACTCATAAGGAACTACTTTTACGTTAATTCTACTTAACCTAACTCACTCATAAGGGACTACGCTTACGTAAATACTACTTAACTTAACCCACTCAATCATAAGGAACTACTTTTACGTAAATGCTTCTTAACCTAACCCACTCAATCATAAGGAACTACTTTTATGTAAATACTACTTAACCTAACCCACTCACTCATAAGGGACTACTTTTACGTAAATACTACTTAACCTAACCCACTCAATCATAAGGAACTACTTTTACGTAAATACAACTTAACCTAACCCACTCACTCATAAGGGACTACGCTTACGTAAACACTACTTAACTTAACCCACTCACTCATAAGGGACTAGATCTTATAATTCAGCAGTTCAGAATCATCGTTTACTTCACTGACATACAAAATAAATATTTGTGATATTCCAAGGGATCACGTGTTTATGTGGGTCGCCATGGCCAACGTTCTGTCACGTGGCGACAGCTTTGCTATCGGTTGTCTCCCAATCTTTGGGCCAACCATGTGCTTCATCTACCATACCCGATGTTTGTTGACAATGAGAAAACAACAAGAAATAGGTAAAAAGCACCTGAGACAAGCTCTCCTTGTGAAACCTGACCACTCCAAGCACAGTCGCCTCTTACGGCAAGAATGGGATGCTCAAAACATATTTTCTACCCGGATCTTCACGGGTCGACCTACGACCTACAATGTGGCCTTGCCGTCTTATGAATGTGTTTAAAGGTATGTATGTATTGACAGATGGGGCGGACGGGGGATGGGAGGCAGGGGGTGGGAGGGGCCAGAGAAGGGTAAGCATGGGTTGCTGAAGCCCTTTTCTAACCCGGATCTTCTCGGGTATCATACATAAATACGAAAGTGGATGAATAGATCCGTTTTTATTATTGTCTCGTCTGACCTTACAACTGTTGACTGATCTAAATGTTGTCTTGTATTACACAACAACAACAACAAAGGTGAAGTTAACTTACGATGTGGTGGCCGTGGTGAGAGATATGATCCACCGACGGAGGTGACGTGCCTGGGTTCGACTCCGTGGTCGTCATATGATGATGATGATGGTGTTGGTGATGGTCCTCCATGTCTCTTTTTCAAATACGAGTACACAGTCTCTCGGGGCACACACAAGCGTCCCTTTACTCCGGCAGCGTCTCTCAGGGCACACACGAGCGTCCCTTTACTCCGGCAACGTCCCTCGGGGCACACACAAGCGTCCCTTTACTCCGGCAGCGTCTCTCAGGGTAAACACAAGCGTCCCTTTACTCCGGCAACGTCTCTCAGGGTATAACACAAGCGTCCCTAAACAATGCCTGCGTCTCCAAGGGTATAACACAAGCGTCTCTACACCTAGGCGGCGTCTCTCGGGGTAAACACAATCGTCTCTACACCCTGCCTGCGTCTCCAAGGGTATAACACAAGCGTCTCTACACCTAGGCGGCGTCTCTCGGGGTAAACACAATCGTCTCTACACCCTGCCTGCGTCTTTCAGGGTATAACACAAGCGTCCCTACACCCCGGCAGCGTTTCTCGGGTAAACACAAGTGTCCCTTAACAATGCCAGCGTCTCCAAGGGTATAACACAAGCGTCCCTACACCTAGGCTGCGTCTCCCAGGGTATAACACAAACGTCCATATACACTGCTAACGTCTCTCATGTTAAACACAAGCGCCCCTCCCCCTGACAGCGTCTCTCGGGTAAACATATGTCCCTACACACCACCAGCGTCCTGCATGGTATAACACAAGTGTCTATACACCCTACCAGCGTCTCTCAGGGTATAACACAAGCGTCCCCACACCCAGGCAGCGTCTCTATGGGTAAACACAAGTGTCTATACACCCAGGTGGCGTCTCTCGGGGTAAACACAAGTGTCAAAACACCCTACCAGCGTCTGTCGGGGTTAGCACAAAGCTCTCACCCATTCAACCATATTAAGGGTACACAGAAGGGCTCCTCCCCGTCACAAGAGACATTCGCCGTAAGAAGCACCTCTACGGGTACCAACAAGCGTCTACCCCTTGCAAACGTACCCGTGGGTATACACAAGCGTCCGTCAGCGTTACAATAGTCCTTATCGGTACACATAAGTGTCCGTCGCCTTTTAAAAATCCATATTGATGAACACAAACATCCCTCGACGTTACAATGATCCCTGAGTGTACACACCAGCGTCCGTCACCGTTACAAGGGCCCGTATGGATGCTCACAAGCGTGCTTCGACCCTACAAGGGTCCGTATGGGGACATACAAGAGACCCTCCTTGCATCCGTTTCAGGGGGCACATACAAGCGTTCCCCACCCCTACTAAGGCTGTCTGGGTACACAAATCAAACTTGTACTCTAAAAGGCCACCCTTGTGTTTCCACATGCACCCGCACCCTGCACTGTCGACACAATGAGAACGAGCGTCAACTCTGCATAGTGTAAGTTGATATAGTGTCCTGCTTCGCTTTGGCTCGCCTATCTCTTCTCTGCGAGCTAGGTCAGGGAGTGGGTCACAGTGATGTCAATAACTATCTATTATCTGAACCACACTGGACACGAGCATGCGAGTGAGTCTGTGGTTCTCACTTTGCCAGCAGGTATAGTTCTTGATACATCAAAATAAACACCGGATCAAGATAATCCCTAGATAGATAGATGTTAATGGGTAAAGCTACAGTCTGTTCCACAATCATGTGAGCGTAACGCCCAGACAGTATATACTAGACTAACATCTAGTCTCTGAGATGAACATATTTAACAGAAAAAAACCAGTTGTTAAATTATATACTACTCAAAAGAAGTTAAGGATCACCCGATTCTTTCATATTATTAATGTAAATCTCTCATGGCATGAGAGATTAACTATGGTAATATGAAAGAATCAGGTGATCCTTAACTTCTTTTGAGTAGTATAGTTATACAATGTAATAAAAAAGAGACCAGGGACTTTCTTCAGTTTCAGACACTGCAGTAATATAGACTTGCCAAACATTATAGACTTGCATGGGCAGTATTGGGTATATTTGTTTCAGGGTCTGTATGACAGACTAGGTGTATACTACATGTATAATTTATACTGTCTGGGCGTTAACGCGGATGATCATATTTCTTTTTTACTACATGTGTAGTTTAAAAAGATAGTGTGTTTTATCATCCACTTCATCGCATTCACACAATAAATTGTTGTTTTGGGATTTTCCAGGTCAGCGTGAACCCTCGCGTCGTTTGAATACGACAAAAGAAAACAACAGTGCGTATAGAGCAATCTTCACTTTGATAAGCGGAACACAGATTACAATTCAATGCGTTGAGACATTCTACAGGTTATCTGTTGCATCACCGGGTGATCGCGAACGTGAAGTGCGGGCTTTATCTGCAATGGGACTCTATTTGTATTGTCTCACAGATCAAAGGGGCTGAAGTCAAAACGGTTAGGTGAGGTGATATTGGGTTTAACGTCGCGTCCAAGATTATTGCACTTATATAGCGACGTGCAAGCACGTGTGTGTGTGTGGCTGCTTGTACTAGACCGGACTGATGCCGATTTATAGTGCTAGCTCACTGAGATACCATGCCGCAGTTTAACATGAATACCCCACTCAGACACAGTATACTGACTCCGAGCCGACCAGTCCTTGTTTTAGCCCCTTATTGCCGAGCGCCAGACAGGGTAACAACAAGTACCATCTTTTAACGTATTTTGGTATGACGCGGCCGGGGATCGAACTCCGGACCTTCCGCTCTCCGGGCGGACGCTCTACCACTAGACCACGGAAGCGGTCCCGTCCTTATAAGGTACACATTAAAATTCGTCTCTGTGTGTAGACATCTTCTTCGGTAATAAATAGATCATTTTGGAAATACAATAGATAATGTCTCATGGTATATAGATTTATCATCCAAAACTGGCTGCCACAGGAGATATCGCTTGGATGAGATCAAGCGATATCTACACTGTAGATATCGCTGCAATGAAATTACATCACAATGCTTTGCAGACCATTGTGACATCACTGGTTACCATGACGTCACAATCAAATGACATCACTAATGGCTCTGCTACTGAAGCTGTTTGCAGTACTTTTTACACTGAAGACACTGCTAAATACTGTCTCCAAATTGAAAAAGTTGAAAGAATGATGTTGGATGATAAATAAAATCTCACCCTCGTGTCTTTTGATATCAAATATATCAACACTCGTTGATAAAGGTGGCAAAAATCCTCGGCAAGCCTCGGAATTTTTCCACTTTTATCAACTCGTGTTGATATATTTGATATCAAAAGACACTTGGGTGAGATTCTCTATATATTATATGAGTGTTCATTTCATTCTATGTTTACCATACTCGCGCCTAAATTCCGGTATTTCCCTCGCTCTCGCACACCATAAGACATTATCTATTTTATTGCCAAAATGTTTTTTTCTCTTTGGTTGGATTTCTTTAGATGGTCTAGAGTTATAATATCCATTACAAAATATATGATAATTATGGCAATATTGTTTTCTATGACGACAGTGAAGAAAACGATCATTCTGAAGTTATGGAATAATTGTTGGTGTTATCTAAATTTATTGAATACGGATATAAAGTGACTGGAATCGACCATCATCTTAATACATTCAGAAATGATTTGTTAATACGCTACGCATTAATGGAGTATATCCAGTTACCTATTGGATCCAAACTAAAACTGTTTTTTGATATCCATTGCTATTTAGTTTTTGTGGAAAAAAACATCCCCGATACACCTGTCCAAGTGGTATTGTACAGGGTCTTAAAATCTGGTATCGTGATGTAATAAAGATGCTAAAACGAAAATAATAATACAAAATATATAATTAAAAAAATAAAACCACACCACGTGGTCCCTTCAGTGATGCGGCAAATGCAGCCATGAGGCGGAGAGCATATACGTGTACATATAAGGACAACAAAATTAATAAGATAACAAAAGGTGAAAAATAACAAAAGGTACAAGCTACCAATAGCAATAGACAATGGAAGCCAACACTTCAGTTATCATAGAGTAATTGGTAATAGACACTGGGCAAACGGGGGAGGGGGTGTGTGTGTTAATTAGCACTGATAGTTTAAAGAATGGCCACAACAAAGGGCAAATTGAAGCCAGCTAGGTAATGTGCCCCGACAAAGATCAAAGATCAATAAATCCATTGGAACACTGGAACGTGAAATGAATAATTGCCAAAACCAAACCATCGTAGCGAGTGGGACCAGGATATGTATCATGACACTGCATTATCGAGGATGGTGACGTGTTGACGATACAATGACACAGGCAAGACTAATCTGGATGTACATACCAACATTGTCTTATATTCACACCCACAATGTCTCAAACACAGAGCCACAATGTCTCAAACACATACCCACAATGTATCAAACACATAGCCACAATGTCTCAAACACATACCCACAATGTATCAATCACATAGCCACAATGTCTCAAACACATACCCACAATGTATCAAACACATACCCACAATGTATCACACACACACACACACACACACACACACACACACACACACACACACACACACACACACACACACACACACACACTCACTCACTCACTCACTCACTCACTCACTCACTCACTCACACACACACACACACACACACACACACACACACACACACACACACACTCACTCACTCACACACACACACACACACACTCACTCACTCACACACACACTCACTCACTCACACACACACTCACTCACACACACACACACAGAGCTTGAAAGTAATCCGCTCGATAACTCATCCATCAACGCAGGCCGGTGTACTGGTCACCTCATAGCCACGTCAAAATAATATAAGTTCATGAACCTACCTCTCATTTCATTCATTTATTATCTCTATCCCAAAGCCAAAAATACGTTTTCATTTCAGTTTTATCATATTTTATCAATAGATTTAAAATAAGGAACTATTTACCGCAATGTTATTGAAAACATAATCTGTGACACGTACCTTGACAACGGGTCCATATCGAATATTCAAACAGAAATCCAAAGACTTTTAAGCAAACCGTAAACAAATTAAAAGTTAAAAAAAGTAATAAATAAACGCAACAAACAATTCTAAAACTTGTCAAGAATACATCAAAGTTACCTTTTCCATCTTTTCGTGCGATCGTTTAATATAATTCAAATGACTTCTTGGCATTTGTCGCCTCAATGTTTCGGCTGGGACAGGACGAAGACGTATGTTGACGTATATGTATAATCTATCTATACGTCTTTGGATTAAACGATTATATGCATGAGAAGTCTTTGTCACAGTCGTAACCTAGAACGATATGTGCACGAAATTCCATATTTTAAACATCGATCGCAATTTCCTGCTTAAGATGTTCAAAAGACCACGATTTGACCAAATACTTTCTTCTTAATCTGAAATATATCACACAAGGACGATATCCGTTGTTGTAATTTGATTGGCTGCCTCAGGTCATGTGCATGATAATGATCTTATATTAGATTACGGCAAAAGCTTAATTTCTATCCATTAAAATCGCATGTTACAACTGCGAAAATACAACTGGCGAGGTTGCTGTAATATTATTGATGTTCAGAGCTTTCTGACGATAACAAACATCGAACGAATTTTCGCAAGTGTTATTTATAAAGCTTCGAAAACGGAGGAGGAAACTGATCACCCGATCCCGTTAGTCGTCTCTTACGACAAGCATCATGCTTTTAGGGTAATCATGGCTTGCCGAAGGCCTATTCTAACCCGAATCTTCACGGTCCGAAAACGTAGGTATTTTCCCATGCCACTGAACGGTAAGCCACTATTATCGGGAAATGTTTTTATAGATCGCACTTAAAATTATTTTTATCATCATTTTACGATTACTTTTATGATGATATTTTTTAAAAAGAAATAAGTTAGTGGATAGCTCTATTATGAAACCATATAATTACCGAATATCGCCATATTTTTCGCTTCCTTATGCTTAAACTGGAGGGGGTGTGCACAGGTGGCCCAGTCGTCTAAGGCGCCGCGAATCGCTGTGCAGAGTTGCGTCCCTTGGGCACGCCAGAAACCTATGATTGTGGGTTCGAATCCTGGTTTGCCCCGATTATGTTTCTAGGTTTGTCAGCACCATGCCCGTGCTCGTGGGTTTCACCTAAGTGTTAAACATCTGAGACCTGCATCACTTCGGTTTTTCCTCGCCGTGATATAACTGGAATAATGTTAAAAGCGGCGTTAAATCCAACTCACTCACTCACTTAATCTGGACGTTATGAATGTGTCAGCTTAAATCTTTTTTTAAAAACAAACGTAGTTAAGTTATAAATGCACTTATTTAAATTATGTAACAAACATAACTTTCATATTTATAACAAATAGGAGTAGACAATTCAAATGGTGTATGACATGTAGTTGCAAAGATATTAATTTCCTTGATAAATGCTGGCTTCATCTATCAACACAGCGTCTGGGAACTCGGTGTGATGGCAGACTGATTGTGTTTTGTAATTTATATTGCAAGAGTATGTCTCCCTGCTTCAGCTAAAATATTTGGGCCTACAGTTATTCAACTCGGCCTACAGTTTTGGAAATGTGCCATCCCTAAAGGCTCTAAGCTTACTCTGCCGAGTTTCAGAAACTGCTCAAACACATACCCTCAATGTATCAAACACATACCCTCAATG